GAACATTTTTAGATTGGTTTAAAATTTTATCAATATAATTATAATACTTGTCTCTCATTACAGTGTTAGTAATATTTCAAAATGTTTTAATTTTATATAACATATACACACACCATGTTCGAAATTTTAGTTCTTATCTGCTGTAATAATTTAATATAATCTCATTACCTAATATCATTATTATCAATTAATTCATCATGCATCAGTAATTTTATAATCATAACACAACAAGTTTATATCGCAAGAAAAATAAATTTAACAAAAAGTATTGTAACAGACAGGAAATATCTGTCTGTTGTAATAATCGTCAATCCATTCGTTGATACAAAGAAATAAACAAGTCACGAAACGTCGCTTCGGGTCAGAGTTACCGTCTCAATGCCAGTACTTACATCGATCGAAATTTCAAAGACGGTATATATCGTGCCGAGAAATTCTTCGCACGATGCGCGATTTTACAGGAGTGCACAGTCACACAGGTAAAAGGAAAAACACAAACAAAACGGCTAAGCAGGTGTGAGCGAAGTGCATGCACCCAATGATCGTTCATTTGCGAGATCTTCTACCGATGATATTTGGGGTCATGGGTGCTTCAAGAAAATGTCACGCTAGTGATATAGACTTCGAATGTTCCTGTAGTCCACGGTCGCGTTCGATCACCTTTCAAACGATCTTCAAACACGAATCACGGTTTTTTCAAGTACGAGACTTCGATTGTCACGTTTTCAAAACAAAACCTACGGAGAACTATTTCACTAGAGATCACGATTGCGAATACATCATCGTGCGTAAATATTTGGAGAGTATTTATTTTCTAAATTATTGCGAATATATCAAAATAGAATTGAGATGAATCTTCCTATTTGAAGATACAGTTAGTAAAATAAGTTAATATCGACTTTTAAGTCACGGTGTTTTTAAATCGAGATATTTAAAGATCTGCGTTTTAACGAGCTTGTCATTCCATTACTTACCTAAACTTCTGTTAACAAAATCTCAATCGTTTTTAACATATTGACTGCAAATGGTTTTAAAACGAAAAGATCACGAATTGTAATTAATCTGACCACCAACTTGATTTTTTTTGAAAAAATGACTTATGCCACTTTCAAAATAAATGGCTCACATAAAAAGAGCAGTAACTGAAAATAGACGAAGATTTTGCATTTTTCTTATAAAATGTATATAAAGTATGTAAAAATCATGATATAAAATTAAACAGAGTGTAAGTTATACGCAATTAAATAGAAATTTAGTCTATTCATTGTTAATGAGAAAGTGATAATTGAAAACGGTTGAGAATTAATTTTGCATAGATATTTCAATTAAGTGATGTCAATTATGTTTGTTGACATATTAGAAGAATATGTGTTTTTGTCACATTTAAAGAGTTTATACAAATTTTATAAAGTATCATCTACTCGTTAGAAATGATATGAAATTTAAATAATACAGGTATAGTCTTTGTTTTGGATTAAATTTAGCAGAACATTTAATTTCGATTATAGTATTATAAATATATAGGGAATTAATAGTAGGAGAATATTTGTCGATCATAGCTATATAAAGAAACAAAAATTTCAATCTTTTGATATCCAATTATCTATGCGCGATAGTATATTATTTCTAAACTAATAGATGGGTTTATTGTTATTAAATTGTAAACACTTATTTATACATTTCTATTTTTTTATGAACTAAAAAAAAATGGAATCTAAAAAGAATTTTGTCTGATTATGATATTAAATAATAATATTATAATAGAATAACTAATACTGATAATTACATATTGTAATATTCTTTTTAATATATTTTTACCATTTTACTTTACTATAATAAACTTTGACTATCTTATTTATTAAAATTATTAATACTTCAATATACAGCAAATTATAATAGACGTTAAATATTAATAGTATTTATTGATAATACTACATTACTAATAATGTTATTAATTTCTTAAATTAATTTTTATTTACACGAAAATTATTCAAGAATGATTTGTTTAAGGCAACAAAATATTTCGTTATACCTGATGAAGAAATTAATATTAATAACAATATTACGTGTTATAATAGTAATAATTGTAATACTAGTTACAAAATAAAAATAAAAATTATAATACTCTGCTTTGATATTTCATATATTTTTGCAAGTTATATATTTATATTATGTGCATTTTTGTATATTTTCTATTAATGCATAAAAACTCTAATCAAAGTCTAATCTATCTAATAAATGCACAATCTTTTTCTGAAATTATCATCTTCATATTGTATGTTCAAATGTAAGTTGTAAAAATTCAGACAATAATGTTAAATTTTTACTATATCATTAATTGATCAAATTGTTTTACTTAGATTTATTTGCCAATTGAGAAACTGAAAATACTTGTCGTTATTTAATAAATGTATAATCTAAACATACAATATTTCTTGTTATTTAATAAATTTTTATTGCAAATAAATTACATTATTTCGCTTAGATATGATCAAACTTTCACTTTCTTTTAAAATGTTTCAAATACGTAATGTTGAACAGCAAGCTTGACCTTTATTGAAATTTACAAAAGGTACGTTAGTCGTGGAGGTTGAATCAAAACGTGCGACCTAATTTTCAGATTACAATAGTCTAACAAATTTATTGAAAGCTGTGTCTAGGGTTTTTCGAAATCTATTTATATATTCCATGCTCGTAATTCGTGCGTGAACGGCTCAGTATACTTTCTATTCACGACGAATTCTTCCGCTCTAGCAGCCTATGAGTCACACCATTATTACTTAGAATTCGTACGAGTCATATGAACGAAATAATATGAAAAAGTCAACTTGTCAGAACATTCAACCATGTAATTATATTTCATACGATTTCAACTTGTAGAAAATTATATTACATATAGTTACAGATAGTTTCAAATATTTAATATTTAATATTTAGAAAAGAAATGATTTTGGACATTTCACGAGTCTTAATTAATTTGTTAGTCATAATTGAATCATTTCGAAAATATTACAATGTCTCCTTATATTTATTTAAAACATATTCATAAATAAATAAATTCAAAGAATACGATTATATCTATGCAATTACTAATGCATATCCATGCAATAATATAATATGATATAGTAAAATGAATACAATTTTTATTCTTATTATAATTATAATGATAATAAGAATACTTTTTGTATATATTAATATATTTATGATAATTGTATTGTAGATTTTGTTATTCTTTTGTATATATTAATATAGATACTTATGATAATGATAGATTTTATTATTCTTTGTTCTGATTTATTTAGATTTGTCTACTTCAGCAAATATAAAAAATTTCATCATCCTCTCAGGATTTTAATTAATAAATAAATTAGTATCTGTAAAATGTTTAAAATCTTTAATATTTGAAAGAATGTTAAAAAATAGCTATTTTCAGTCTGGAAATAGCCATACTGAACGTTCAAAAACTTTCCCTAAAAATGATGGGAAATTTATTAAAAATGTATTGATGTATATATACTTCCGTGATTATTTATATTTATTATAACATACAGTAACTTTTATTAATATTCGAACTAAATATTTAAATATTTAAAGTGTTACAATTTCGTAAAAAAAGAAAAAAAAAATCATATAACAATAAACTTGGATTTGTTTTAAAGCCTCCACTTTTAAAATATACCATTCATTTTATTTTAAGATGTTTTTACATCATGTAACAGGTGAGAAAATAAAGAAAAAATGTCATAAATTGTTATACAAACATTGAACAATTTTTTATGACTAAATCTACAATGAAGATTGAAGCCTTCACTTCACAATGACTTCCTAAAACTTGATGTACGACTTTTTTTCGTTATTTTATTGAACTTTGAATGTTAAGTGTAAAAATGATACGTATATGAAAAAAAAAGAAAACATCATTATGCACTAAATAATTAAATACTTTTTTTAATAATCTTAATGTGTGTCAAATTATTAAAAGTGCGTACATTGTATGTATGTATTTAATCTTTCATTTTATTTTAATTATCATGTAAATTTTTTCATTATTATATAAATAAAAGTTTCATGATAATAAATTGAAGGCCAAATAATTAATACACGGTTAAAATAACTGTTGATTAAAAAATATATTTCATCCAAGATAATATGGGACACAGTAATATTCGTTACTAATTATTATAGATAATTATATAAAAAATATATAATTGAAAATGTAGTATTATATTATATTATATTTAGAGAATTAAATATATAACTTATATTATTTGTTTAGAAATAAAAAATTTCTCCAAACAGCAAATTATCATTTGTTGATCAGTCAACGATAGATTTTCTGTTCATGTTAGTTTATTTGAAATATTATTTTTTTAATTACTATAAATAATGAAAGTACAAATAATTATAAATAATGAATGGACTGTAATAGTGTAACTGTTACAAAGTATTGTAACCTTAATATTTTAATTGCAGTATAAAGTAATATGTAAAGTAGCATTGTTTGGCTAATTCATATGTTTGCTTATGTCTTAATTTTGTATTTGAACTTCTTACTAAAACCTGTACGTATAATACGTTTAAAAGCTTCATTTAAACTACAAAGTTATGTCACTTGATCAATTGAGAAAAATTTGCAGGGAAGCTTGAAGAATTTGCACAATAATTAAAGAGGAGAAAGCCAAATTATACATGACCTCATTAACGTCATGTCTGAAACACCAGGAATTTTTTGCAACGAAATTTTGCAAGTGTAAGTAGTAGTAAGATACCTTTCAAATTAAAGTATAAAATACCACAAAACTAAACAACGTAAAACATCATAAATAATTTAACAGAGATCACAGAAATTAGAGAAAGTTTTTACAGAATTATTAAAATTATATCATAGAATTATTAAAATTCATTATAATTGTTGTACTTAGAAAATGAAGACATTGCGTTCTTCGAACATTGCATGCGAAAATGATCATATACCATAATTTTGTTTATAAACTTACCGGTATCTGTACAACTGTGCCATTATTTAATTGAGGATAAGAATACAGTGGCACTACGGGGACCGAGCCATTTTTCAAAAAGATTGGACCTTGAATTGGCGTGACGTGAGCGTCCCTTGGTATTTCTGGGTCTTTGTCGTCGTAATAATCGTCGAAGTCGTCATCATAGTCTAAAACAGCGTGAATCGAAGTTTTTGTACCAGGTCCACTTTCACCGTTAACTCTCGTATACCTTTAACAAAATAAAAGAAATTGAATAACAAACTACCTTATATTTTCATTCAAATTATAATTGAATCATTTCAACAATGCGAGCTGTTATCATCATGAAGTTTTAAAAAAATTGAAAAGTTGAAAAAATGAAGATAATGAAGTATAAGAATACAGAGAGATTCATCAAATGTTTATTTATTTTTATCTAGTATGTTATTATAGCCAATTTATTTTTATCTAGTATACAAATACAAACGATAGTATTGTTTATGAGATGACCAATACAAAAATTTTATGCAATTTCACGGTAATAGCAATCTTGAAAAAGTTTTTAGAAATCCATCTAATTATAATATTTTTAATTAACTTTCAATTATATTTATTTCTATAATGTAATTGATATCTGATGTCTCTAATATAGGAAGCAAATTAGCATTTTAAAGTGACTTTAACACGTTAGCATGTTTGATAATTTTTTTAGAAATTCTTCCAATTAAACAATTTTCAATTAACTGTCAATTCATATTTTTCCCTATAATATAGTTAATATAACTAATAAATTATGATAAAAGAAAGTAAATTTTAAGTAATTTTTCGCACATTAACAAGTTTGACAAATCATTTATGAATCCTTCTGATTAAAGTTTCAATGAACTTTCAATCATATTTCTTCATTTCATAATATACAATTTAAAATGTAAAACATAAAACATTTTCAAGTATCACCTCTCTATCAATACAAAATTGATATCAGAACACTATTTAATTTACTGTAGAGCAAATTTTATATCGAATTTCTTCACACGCATTTTTTATTTTTGTAATCTGTATCGTACATTTTTGGTTTCAAAAATAATGAATGTTATTTCCATAAGTTGAAATCTACGAATGTAAGACCTGATCAATGTAAGATTGGTCCTTCTCGTGTGATTCATCATTGAAATTCGATCGTATTGATCGTATTTGTTATAACTTTTGTTATAACATTTTAATGAAGCATCTATGAATTGTTTTACTATATAATACTTTAGTTTTCTTTTAATCGGCAGAACACACTGGGAACAATAAAGTTCGAACATTAAAGTGCAGGACACCTTGTATATGAAAAAAATGTTACACAAGACAGGAAAAATAATTGAATTCTACGTAATTCAAAATAAAATACAAGAGAACGTAAGCGAGGAAATTGCAAAAGAATGCGAGTTTAATGGCGGTAAAGAAATCAAGAAGATAATATGAATTCGTCTTTTCCACGTTTATTGAGTTGAAAGGACCGGTAAATGGCATCCTTTTACGATAATTGTCCGTGAGGCTGACAAAAAATAGTATTCGGTATATGGTCAACACATGCATATTAATAATACATATCTGAGGTAAAGGATGAAAGAAGAAATATCGTATGGATCAATGATATAATTGGCCAGACGATGGAATGACAGTGACAGGAGAGCGCACACGTCAGATGTTCATCAGAAATTCATTAAGACTGCATGATACGTAACAAGAAACCGTTCAGCTGATCGTTATTATTACATAAATAATTATGAGGGCAATTAAGGTTAATATAGTGCTTTCGCTGATCCAGCAACAAATAATCCTTTTAAAATGAAAATATCGATGTGCACACATTGATTAAGTTAATCACTCATACGATCCAATTAATTATCAAAGAAATTTATACGTTTTCGTTAAATTAAAAATCTATCTATTAACTATGTAGTTTTTGTTTCTTTTTATTTTCGAAATTTAATAAATCATTCGCATAATAAGATTAAATGGAAAATGTTGCACTATCTATTAACGTTCTATTATTTGAACAGAATATTTATTAATAATAAATGAGCCCTCCAATTAGTACAAGTCCAAATTTGAAAAAAAAATGAATTTACTATAGGAATAGTTGAGAAATACTTATTTGATTTACTAATTTAATGCGTATATATTGTCTTATATTGATAAAAAATAAGAGTCAGTTTTTACATTGTAAATAAATAATGCTACTTGATTATGCACTCATTACCTTACCATTGATTTACTTTTCTTGCAATAAACAATATTCTTCTTAATTTGTTATAAAATATTACACGAAAGTTCAATTTTCATAACATTAAGAAAAGGAACTTAATCGATTTGTTAACTAGAAATTAAGAAATTAAGAAATGTCCTGGTTGAAATATCTTTTTTTTGTGTTTTTATAGTTTCCTACATATTTATTTATATTAATATTGATATTTATATTTATATTATATTTTTATTACATTTATTATACGTTTATTACATATATTTATATTGTATGTTATTATATATTTTGATGTGTTTTTCAATTGCAGAAAGAATTTATTAAAATGTGA